CATAATTTACTCCATTTAGTTGTGTTGTGGATTTTTTATTGCATTTACGCTCTGTAAAGTACATCACTTATGTTCTAGTACATTCAGTTAAAGGTATCTTATGCAAAATAAACCATTTTGTAGTAAAAATAGTTGTAAATGCGCAAAGCGAGCTGAGTTTGCACATTTTGTTTTATTTTATTTTATTTTTTTAAACACTGATATGGAAACATCGTTGGAATGTAAATTTACGTTGTTAYATAGGCCGGAAGTATTTACTCTAAACTGTTTTGTGTTAAGCTTTCCTTTTGGGATCATAGATGAGATTTTTGATTAATATCTAAATCATAAATCTGCTTTTTGAGTTTGGTGATTTTGCATAACTCCAGTAGTATTTTCATGGCAACCTCAGCGTTTACCTGGTTGATCTGCAAACTTGGAAGAGTTAGGCTCTAGTACTCGTAACTACAAAATGGTCTACTGACTCCACAACCTCGTGTTGCTGTGTTAAAAAGTACCTGTTGCAGGGTTGAACGAGCCTGTGTTAGCGTAGACCTTCTTATAGATCAGTGTGATCTCGGTATTGAATGGTCCAATGTTCCCAACATTGCTTATAGATGCTCCAAATGCAACACCTTTAGAAGCTGAACAAAAAAGCACGAGTTATTAAACTGGTTGGCTCGTTGTATAAAAAGTAGCTAAATGTTGCTCATCTTACCTTGGATCGTTGACCTCAGGTTCTCTAACTGTCTCTCAGTGTTTTTCTGTTTGTCCTCCAGCTCTCTTATCTTAATGAGTAGTAGCCCATCGTTTATGTGGCATCCTGTCTGGTGACCAGTGGTGACAGAAGACATTTCCATGCTGCTGCTTTCAGCTCCGTTGGTCTCTCCTGCTTGTCGCTGATCAGAGATTTCAGCCACACACAGGCAGAGAAAGAAGCTGAAAAACACATCCAGTGAGAACTTCATCTTCAGTTTTTCAGTTTGTGTTGTACTGATGTCTTCACTGTGCATGGATTATATGTACATATATATATATGTAGTAAACAAGGAAATACCCTGTTTTTGAGTTAATTATAAAGTTTTTATGATTATGGCTTAATTACTTTTCGACAATCGTGATTTTTATAGATTGTTTTTTCCTGGCTCTAAAGATAACACTGGTTACACATTTGTTTTCTTTTATCTCTGTTATCAGTTCCTACAGTTGCGAAAAAGTCATGAAACACCTCCGGTGTTTTTATATTGCCTTTTCAAGGAGCTACATTTTTTTGTAATCTTTCAAAACTGTCTTGATAATTCAGCGTTTTGGTGGTCTTTTAAGGCTTTTAGTTGGACCATGACTGCTTTTTCACTCCGTTTTTGTTTAGTTCTCGTATCAGACTTTGACAGTGTGTTATGCACTGTGTTCTTAAATGTATGGAAAGTGAAGAAGTGGAGGATAAAAGGAGAAGTGCCAACCCAAACTTGTGATCAAGGAGTTTTTGTGTGTCAAGAATATTTGGTCCTGCGTAAAGCTGAATTCAGGAAACAGCACAGCACTTCAAGTACTTCAACTAAAGTTTCAAAATGACTTTATTAAAGCCCGGGCTGCCAAAGAAATGAATCACATGGTGCCAAAGTAGCATGTGATTTATGATGGCACCATTTTAGACTTGGATGTGTTTTTTTTTCTTTTTTTTTTAATCTAGTTTTCACATTAACAGTGTGAGGGTCAGGCAGGGTTTGGGCTAGGCCCTTTATATCTGGTGAAGGGAGAAAATTAAAGGGACAGTCTGTCAAATAATTATCAATAGTACCATTTCTGAACTTTTAGAACTTTTTCTGTCTCTGCGATATAAGGCAAAACATTTTTGTTCTTCATGAAGCGATTTACTTTCTTTTCAAAAAAGACTTCCATTTTTTCTTTTTGTAACGTGAAGAGTTAAAAAAGTTTTCCTTTAAGGTTCTACATCAGTGGTGTCAAACGCAGTTAAGAGGGGTAAAATTCAGAACTTGGTCCAATATTTATAGAAGAAATATTATACAAATTATTCTTATAGAAATACAAAAGACCTTTTTCAAATTATGTTTTATGTGGCATTTAGAACATATCATTAAAGAAAAACAAAGAATTTTAGAAAGATTCATTATTAGCATTATTTATTATGCTTTACTCTCTATCAATAACTCTATCATTAACTTTTTCATTTAATATTT